AACACAAGGCCAGCAGTTTATATATTTATATATCTATATGTTGTTATTGTTGTTATGGGCTGTGGCGTCAGTTCCCACTCATAGTGACCCTGCACTGGGTTTCTACGGCTGTAAATCTTTACGGGAGCCGAAAGCCTCATCTTTCTCCGGTGGAACGGCTGGTTCATAATCACTATGCTACCAGGTACAGGCAGGTCGGGGTTGGTTTGTTTATATATGTATATAAACAACAGCAACAACAACAAAATATATATATATAGAGAGAAAGACAAGAGAGAGAGAGAAAGACAGAGAGAGAGAGAGAGAGAGAGGGAGAGAGAGAGAGTGAGTCCTGGTGTGGTGCTATGGGTTAATGCACCAGGCTGCAAAGCCATTTGAACTGCAAGGTCGGCAGTTCAAGTTCACCAGTCACTCCTCAGAAACCCTATAGGATCACTATGGGTTGAATCTGACTCGACAGCACTTAACCACAACATATATATATACTCACATATGGTGGTGGTGCCGTGGAGTAGGGTGCTCGAGGCTGTAAATTGTTATGGGAGCAGAAAGCCTCATCTTTCTCCGTGGACCACCTGGTAGTTCTGAACTGCTGACCTTGAGGTTACCAGTCCGACTTGTAACCACAACACTACCAGAGCTCCATATAGATGATGATGATGAGGCTGCCCCCAAGCTGTACCTGCTGCCCCCCTTGGGGGTTCGCATCAGGAAACACTTACCGTTGGCTGTGCCTTTGATGGGTGGTCCCGGGCCGTGGCTGGCTTGGTGTCTGACCTGGCAGCGGCGGTCCCCACAGGCCCTGTGGCTGCAGCGCCGCCCTCGGGGGTCTCTTCCATCTGTAGCAGGTTGAGCTGCAGAGGCGAGCTGCCTCGGGACTGGAAGAGTGGCGGGGAGGCCCGGCCGGTGGGCCCGGTGGTGGAGGACGGGGTGGCTGGGGTGGCTGCACGGGATGTGGACTGCCCACGCTCTACCCGGGGACAGGGACACGGCTGTGGGAGCAGCGGGGTCCGGCTGGGGAATGCGGGCTGCGAGGCAGAGAGCATCTCGGGGTGGCCCGGGATGTTAGTCTGGCTGGTGAAAAAGGCTTGTGGCAGCCCTGGGGCCATGGCAGGGAAGGGATAGCTGGGCAGCACAAAGGCCATGACTGGGGTCAAGGGGGCTGCGAATGGTGGGGGCTGCCCCGTAGAGTCGAAGCCTGTGTGGGGGATGTTGGAAGCCGCTGCCAGCGGCCCTGGTGCGGGAAACACGGGCAAGGGGTAGGCTGGCATGGGAGCAGGGAAAGATACAGCAGGGCAGCTGGACTGGGATGTGTCCGAAGGGGACCAGGCTGTGGCATTGAGGCCTGCCAGCGGGGCACGGGTGGGCACTGGCCCTCCGGATGCCGTACTGCCGGATGAGTCTTGGGGCTTGGCCCGCTTGGATTTGAACTTCCTGTTCCTCCCAGTTTTTTTCCATGACGAATGCACCCCGGAAACATTTCTTAGTCCCGGAGCAGCTAGGAGAAGGAAAAAGGCACCTGAGTTAAGAATTGTTCAGGTTGAGTGGCAGTATCCTTGGGGGTAAAACGTTTGATGAAAGAACAGTTGTGTTGCGTCTCAGAGATGTATGAACACAGGAAGGCCCTCCGGAGTCCCACAGCCCCATTCCCAGATGCTGGTCGGGGTGCCCCGTAGACTGGGGTGAATGAATCCCATCAACATGTGTGGCCTGCACGCAGGATCACAGTCCTCGTCTCCCAACAGTCAGGCGGGCAGAACCTTTCAGGAAACGACTTGGGCCCTTGGTGGTACGACCAGGGACATGTTAGCCCACGTGAGGAGAAATCCCTAAGACAGAACCACACACTAACCTTTCTACTTTCAGACTCTACACTCTTTCTCTCCCACCCCTTAACAAGAAGGGTTTCTGCCTATAGATACAGGCTGGGATTGCAACCACATAGGGCCGGAAGGGCACGTGTGCAAATTGTCTGGAAGTGTGGAGATGACGCTCTCTGCAGGACAAAGGACTTGGGGGCCATCCCCAGGGCCGTCAGCTTAGTGGCTGTGACATGTCTGGGAGAGTGTCTCTGAACAATGAGATGGCCCAGGAGCCCCCAGTTTTTCTTCTCCTGACACGCTGGATAATGCAGGGTTCTTTAGAGGGGAACGCGCCTTCTTGGCTGAGCCTCGGTAGATGCTGAGGTCCCCTCTGTCTGCTGAAGCGCTGGCTCCCGGGGCACACGTAGGTCTAGGCAGGGGAGCCCAACACAGCTGTGGAGTCTGACGGGTGGGGGCGAACAGGGCTGGGTGGGCCTGGGGAGTAGGGGGAACGGGGCAGAGCACCTTCTAGTTTCCTCAGATGCCCTGTGGGGACTGGCAACAGCCCTGAATCTGGGGGAGGGGTGAAACATGTCACCCCAAGAGCCAGTAGACTCTCATTTCTGGGGTGTCTGCCCAGATCCAGGAGCAGCAGGTCCTGGGGGTCTCTGGGCTCCATGGCTGGTATTCTGTGCCAGAGCCCTGGGCCCCAGGAAGGAGGCAGTGTCTCGGACCAGCCCAGGCCCAGCTGATCAAGAGGCTTGGGAGTCAGGGGTCAGGGCCCGAGTGAACAAGCTGGTCTGTTCCAAGATGCTCAGTGCACATACTGGTCTGCTTGGTTTCAGAGTCACAGGTCCACCTGTCAAGACGACCATTCAGGAGGACAGACCTTTTGGGGAGATGTCAGCATTCCAAGGGTCTTTTCTGGGTGGGCAACAGGGTCGGGCACCCAGACAAGGGCAGTTTTACTATTGACACTACAGCCCTGTGTCCACGGGGCACTGCCAGTTTGGGGAGCCAGTCTGTGCTTGCACCTGATGCTTACAGTTGTTTCTCTGGTGGTACAGCCCAAAAGAGCCCCACAGCTGGACTGTTAGACAGAAAAAGCCTCTATCCTGGCCGTGGCCACAGAGCTCCGACAGGGGCATGTTCACCTTTTCCTTGTGGGTGTTGCTGACTTTCGTGACCCTTGTCAAAGGGGAGAACTGTGCTCCACAGGGTTTTCTGTGAGCTTTGTGACAGCACATCACCAGGCCTTTCTCCTGCAGAGGAACTGGGTCGTTTTGAACTGCCAACCTTTTGGTAAGTAACCAACCGCGAACCCTTGGCATCAGTTTCAAAGCCAGCGCTGCCCAGTGGCATCAAGAAACACAGTTAATCCAGGCACCTGCTGATACTCACTCAGCTCACTGGACTGTCCCTGGGACCGCTCCTGTAGGTTGTAGTGGTAGCGAGACCGGAGCACACTGAGCTTCCGGATCTCCCTGAACTTGAACAGGAAGCCTTGCTCCTCCTTCTGGGTGTGCGCAGCCAGCACCTCCTTGGTGAGACCCAGCCTCTTGAAGGGCTCTTTCTCAGGGCCCAGACTGCAGCTCAGCATGGGGCCGGCTGGCCCGTCCAGGGACTCAGCCCCACTGGCCGCATCTTCAATCATTTCTGGAACAAAGACCAAAAACCTGCTGTTCTGCACATCCTCCTTTACACTGAAAACAGGAACAAACAAACCCAGACTACAAGGACAAACGCTATATAATCTGACTTATACACAACGGGCGGAGACGGTGAAACCTGTGATAGCCAGAACTCAAACGGACTGCCTCGTTTTTCCGGGTCTCACACACGTTAGCCTTTGACACTATGTGGTTTTACTTTTCTTGTTTTACATTAAAAGGGAAAAAACAAAACTGTTTATTGTGAACTGAGTGAAGGTTTACAGAGCAGATCATCAGTTTTACATTCAAGGAATCAAATTCTTGGCGTCATTCCAGTGACTGCAATTCCACCAAGTTTCATCAGTTCCTGGGATCACCTCTAGTTACTGTACCTTAACCTCCTTCTTTATGTATGTCTTCCCCCTGCCAGCCTCTCTCTCAGTCTTACTTTCTATCCCTCCCTATTTGTGGACAATATTTGTGTTTTCCTTCTCTGATGGGGTTCCGCCTTACACAGGGGGTTGACACCACGGTTTCTTTGTGGTTATCACAGGAAGCAGGAAGTGGGGGAAGTCGGGGGAAGTGGGGGGCTCATTGCTTACGGGTACTGAGTTGCTGTGGACGGTGGCGGAGTAATTTGGTGACGGAAACGCTGTTCACAGACCCGTAGCCAGGGTCCCTGTGACTTGGAGCTAACTCCACGGCACATGGCCACCACCGGTGATGATGACCACCCAACAGGAACAGAATCAGTGCCCCTGAATCCTACATGCAAAACCTGCTGTGTTGGCAAAGGTTTTGTTACACGAAGGCAAGTCAAAAAGTACTGCTATGAAATCATAGAAACTTCTAAACGAAAACATGAAAACGTTAACTGCTGTTTCTCGACATCTCCTTCATCTTTGATTGACACCTCAATCATGAACTTGAGAAACAAAAGGAAGTCAGAGGGGGCAGAATCAGGGCTGTGGGCTGGATGGGGTAAGGCTTCCAAGGAGATTCTCCTAGGATAGCCCTTCCTGTCCATGGGGAATGGTGGGTGCATTGTCAGCGTGGACAAAATGCCTTGGCGCAACTTTTCTGGCCTTTTTCTCACCAACACAAAGTTCTCCATGTTCTTTAAACTTCTTCCTGGAAAGCCCTGGTGATCATCCTTTTGTCCTTGGAGAAAATTCCCCAAACAGTGTCCATACCCTTCTGAGCTGACCTCTCTGTCTTGAATTGAGCTGGCCCAGCAGACCTGCTCAGAAACCATCATTTTGATTGCACCTTTTTTTTCAGAAGGCACCCTAAAAAACAAGAGAATTCCTGAGGGAAATTGTCTGCAGTCAGCCATGGATGGCAGAGACGTTTTACACACATTTTGTTGGGTGAACTGGAAGTCTAGCAGCAATGCTTTTTGACAGGCCCTAAAGCAAACCACGTACTAAGCCAGACCACGTCTCTGAGCACATGTACAAGGATTCCAGGGAACCCACAACAGGACGATGGTGGTGGTGGTCATGTCCCGTGGAGCCGGTTCTAACTCCTAGCGACTCCGTATCGGCTTTCCAAGGCTGTAAATCTTTATGGGAGCAGAAAGCCTCATCTTTCTCCCATGGTGCAACTGGTAGATTCTGTGGGAATGAAAACCTTTTCCTCAAAAATTACTATAATTCTGTTAATTGTATTCAGGTGATCTCTCTATTTCTTTAACTACTTCCTGAAGTGAGTAAAGGCCTTATGATCTCTGTTTTTCTTTGACGATGTCCCGAAGTGAGCAGAAACTTTACCAACTTTCTTTTTCTTAAAATGGGAATGCATGCCTTAGAAATCTGAACTAGCCAACTGGGTAAGGGAAAAGCCAATGGGGTGAGACACACAGTTGAATGAACTGCTGGCCCTGTACTTAGAAGGCCAGCTGGTAACACCAGGGCTCTTTCAGCAGGGTGGGAGTCACCAGGTAAACAACCAAAATCGATGGTAGAGAAGCCTCATTGCTGCTCTCTCAGGAGCCAGCCCACTCAGCAACCAGCAGCTGGGCACCATGAAGACTCAAGCTTCCTAAGTCTTGTACAATTATTCCGAAGGTCTCTGCAGTGACTTTGACACAACAGGCTGAGGCCAATGGGGCCATCTACAACTGCAGGTTCACACAGCACAGGAAATCAGGAAGGGGAAGTGGGAGTGCCCCTCAGTCCCTCTCCAGGACATCCAGGGTCATGGGAACCACAGCGCATTCCAAGAATAAAAACTCTCCTTGATAAGCACTGAGTGTCGTCGGCTTTGACTCTTATTACAAGCTGCGGGACCGGCGTTCCAGCCTCATCGAGCAGGGCGGGCTGAGAGAATTGTGTGTGTGTGTGTGTGTGTGGTGTCTCATAGGAGGGTGAGACTGGGTAGAGGAAGCCATATTCCATTGAGAGAAGTGGGGAGACCGAGTCTGCTCAGCCCTGCAGGCCGGGGAGGGAGGAGGAGTCCTGGTGTGGTGCTGTAGGATAAATACTGGGCGGCTGCTAAGTTCAGGGTCAGCAGTTGGAAACTACCAGCTGTTGTGCTGGAGAAAGATGAGGCTTTCTGCTCCTGTAAAGATTTACAGCCTCGGAAACTCTATGCAGGGTGGCTATGAGTCAGAACCGATTCCACGGCACATAACAACAACAACAACAACTAACCCCAAGGTCGCCGGTTCAAAGTCACCAGCTGCTCCTTGGAAACACTATACAGTTGCTGCGAGGCGGAACCAAGTCACTGAACAACAGCAAACAACTGCCACCAGGTGGCGCCAAAGTACAGGGGAAGGGGAATCGGGATGAGGCCTCAGGAGGCAGTTGGATTAATTGGATTTCTGAACCCCACCCGTTTGACTACAGTGGGATTCTTCTGGACTTAGATAAATTATTGGGTTTTTTTTTTGGTGTATCTTTTTCTTGGTAAAATAATATTTATATAAAGATAATGTTCTCCCATGTAAATAATCACATAATTCACAATAAAAACTTAAAAAATGTAATGCTCATGTTGTTGTTTAGTGCCGTTGAGTCGATTCCAACCCATAGTGACCCTGTATAGGGTTTCCAAAGAGCAGCTGGTGAGTTTGAACTGCTAACGTTGCAGTTCAAATGGCTTTGCAGTCTGCGGCATTAATCTACAGCATCATACCAGGACTCCAATGTTCATGTAGCAGACAGACTTGCCCAAATGCTTTTGCTAATTCTGTGTTTTTCACATATGGGCTCATCTCATTTGATTATGTTTCACTTTATTGCACTCTGCAGACATTACGTTTTTACAAACAGATAAAATGTTTTGTGGAAACGGCGTTGGGCAAGTCTCACGAGCAACCTGTGCTCACTTCCTGTCTCTGTCCACGCTGCTCCTTCTCACAGGAGTCCATGCTGTTTTATCATATTACCTGCTTCACTGGCTAGTCTAATGTACATAGATCCTTCATGTGCATGAGGAAACCCAAACATGGATGGGGCTTGCTTTATCACTAAGTTCCCTGTATCGCAGTAGTCTGGGGCTGAACCCACAATTCCCCCGAGGTCTGCCGGCGTTCAATCTGGTGACATTAACCAAGTTGTGCAACCAACACCAACATCCATGGCCAAATTTCCCATCACCATAAACAGAAAGTCAGAGTTCTCAACAAATGCCCCTCTTCCCTCCCTTCTACCTACTAATCAACTTTGGACTCTACTCATTTGTCTGTTCTAGGTAATTCCTATAAGTGAGATCACATACTATTGCCCCTTTTATGAGAGCCTTGGATCAAATTTTTTAAAACCAGATTACTGAATCCTGCGACCAGAAGATGGCTACTACCACTCACTGCTCTGAAAGGGCTATGTTAGGAAGTCCTGGATAGAGTGGGAGAAAAATATGGAACGAAATGCAAAATCAGATAAAAGACCAGACTTACTGGTCAGAGAGAGACTGGTGGAACCCTCGAGTCTGTAGTCCTCAGTCCCTTCAGGTCTGGAAACGGACCCACCCCATGGCTCCAGTTCAGCCTAACAACAGACAACTCTCTAAGGGAACAACACTAGACAGGTCCACGCTCCTTAGAATAATCAACAGTTTGAGATCAAAAAGGCAGGTTCTGCCCAAGGACAAGGATCCAAAGGTTAGAGAAGGAGGGAGGAAGAGGGAAAAGTGACGCTACGTTGTGAGGACAACAATCTACGCCATGAAGCACAACTCGTACTAACTGCTATGTGGGTAACTCATCTGCTCTGTAAACCGCCATTCAATTCACAATGAAGTTAAAAAAAAACAACAGTGTGTGAAACAAATCCAAACCAAGCCAGGTTACTCTTGACTCCATCAAAGTCCACTTGGGCGGACATACCTAGCTCGGGCTGTGGCTTCTTGTCCCCGACATGGACCAGGGTACTGCTGTAGCTGCACTGGCTGGTGAGGGACAGCACGCTGTCCGCTTTGCTGGGTAGTGCCAGGGAGGTCAGGTGCGTGCTGACCTCTGCGTGGCTGTCCGCCTTGGCGGGCTTCAGCAGGACGGCGTGCACCTGCGAGGCTGACTCTATAGAGAGGAAAAGAACTGGGCATGAGAGTGAATTACAGACGCCGCTGGTCCAGATGGCGCAAAATACCCCGTGGGACCTGGAATCAGGCATGAGAGTGAATTACAGACGCCGTCGGTCCAGACGTCACAAAATAACCTGAGGGACCTGGAACCAGGCATGCGAGTGAATTACAGATGCTGCTGGTTCAGACGGCGCAAAATACCCCGTGGGACCTGGCTATGCCACCCCAACCTGAAAACGTTCCATCCTCGGTGCTTGTTCACAGGGGAAGTGGAGAAGATGAAATCCCGAAACGGGGACAAGTGTGCACTGAATCCGGCTGCTGTTCTCAGGGGTTACCGAGACCAGATTCCGACCCACAGCACCCCTCCCCATGTGCCTTGGAGCAGAACTGCCCACAGGGTCTTCAATAGTGGTGACCTTTCTGAAGGAGATCACCAGGCATCTCTGGGTGGATTTGAACTGCAAACCTTAAGGACAGCAGTCAAGTGCTTAACCATGTGTATACTCAGGGACTCCTGCAGCTTTGCTGCTTGGTTTTCAAGCTGGAAAATCTGCGCAGGAGCACTGTCCCGTCTTTCTCCCATGGAGTGGCTGGTGGATTCGAACTGTTGATCTTATGGTTAGCAGCCCAACATGTAACCCACTATACCATCAGAGTTCTTTGGTTGTTGTTGTTAAGTGCCGTCGAGTCGGTTCCGACCCATAGTGACCCTGTATAGGGTTTCCTAGGAGCAGCTGGTGACCTTGAACCGCCAACCTTGCAGTTGAAATGGTTTTGCAGCCTGGCACATTAACCCACAGCGCCACACCAGGACTCTGAGGTCCTCTGGTAGCGGCAGGGAATTCGGGGCCAGGAGCCTTTGTCCGGAGCCAAACCTGAAGGGCAAGTTCTAGGGCTGAAAGTGACCTAGCAGGTGTCTCAACCGAGTGGCTGACCTCTTTCCATCTGCAGGTGGACAACAGGCTCGCTCAGCGTGACCGTCCAACAACGTGACACCCTGTTTGGGAGTCTGGCAGTGCCCAGCGGCTCCATGGTGACCTACTTGATCATGCCCATGCTCTAGACCACTGGCGTGGGTGCCATTGCAAGGCTGGGAGGCTGTGGGAGGTGACTTGGGGCCAGCCAGGCCTCCAGCAACCCTGGTGGGTCCCACTCTCATGGGCCAAGACTCCCGGGGCCAGAGCAGGTGAGGAGGCAGCTGAAGTCTGACACAGCTTAATGCTTGTGGGAAATGGGCACGCACTTCCCAATGACCCCCATTCCTCACACGCTTCTACAGCTAAAAGCAGACACGCTACCTCCAGTGGCCTTGCGCTTGTCGCTAGCATTCAGGGCTGGGAACTGATACTTCCTCTTCAGTGTGGTGACCTCACCACAGCTTTCCAGGTACCTGTGTGGACAGACGGACAGATGGATGTCACACAAGACTTCATATGGCATTCAGAGGGAAAGTGTGAGCAGTGAGGGGCAGCGGGCACACCTCATGACGCTGTCCAGACAGCTGATCTGCTGGTAGGAGCAGGCCGGCTGGGCCTTGCAGGCCAGCTCTTCGGGAAAGGTGGCTTTGGGGACGCCAGCACCTGCATCATCCTTGTCTGTGGTTGGGGCCACCTTTGTGGGAGCAGGCAGACAGCTCTGCAGGTCTGTGAGAACGACAAGATTGTTCTGTCATCTAATGTTTTATCCCCAAACGCACTGCCGTCGAGTTGATTGTGACTTCCGGTGACTCTGCAGGTTCAGAGTGGAACTGTAGGGAATTTAGGGTGTCGGTCTTTACAGAAGCAGACCGCCCCATCTTTCTTCCAAGGAGCCTCTGGTGGGTACAAACCGCTGACCTTTTAGTTAACAGGCAGGTGCTTAACCCACAGCATCACCAGGCCTCTTCAGAGCCACCATAAAAATCCAAAACCAAGTCTTGTCGAGTTGACGCCAACTCAGAGAGACTTGAAAGAGCACAATTGCCGAGCTGGGTTGCTGAAACTATGAACCTTTATGGGCGGGAACAGCCTCATCTTTTTCTTCAGAGTGGCTGGTGGGTTTGAACCTCTGGTTAGCAGCTCAATGCTTAATCCACTGCACCACCCATGCTTCTCCAAAGAAACCACTTTGTATTTATAAAGCATTTCCCATCTAAACATGGACCACATAGCTCCTCTGTGAGTCAGCAGATTGGGGCCGGTCCCACTGCTCACGGAGAAAGTAGGTTGAAGACTTGGGGACACCCCTTGGCCACATCTGAGCAGGCCCACAAAGTCTCAGGGGTCCAGCACCATCGTTCAGAGCCACGTGGTTGAATAAATCCTGGAAGTCTGTGTGCTATAATTGTTATAGATGCCACTCATGGCGTCCCCGTGTGGTCAGAGGAGAACTGTGCACACAGGGTTCTCAATGGATGATTTTTCATAAATAGATTCCACTCATGGTGCCCCGTGTGTGTCAAGCACATCTTCGTGGAAGCAGATGCCTCATCTTTCTCCATGGACCACCTGGTAGTTTTGAACTGCTGACCTTGAGGTTACCAGTCCGACTTGTAACCACAACACTACCAGAGCTCCATATAGATGATGATGATGAGGCTGCCCCCAAGCTGTACCTGCTGCCCCCCTTGGGGGTTCGCATCAGGAAACACTTACCGTTGGCTGTGCCTTTGATGGGTGGTCCCGGGCCGTGGCTGGCTTGGTGTCTGACCTGGCAGCGGCGGTCCCCACAGGCCCTGTGGCTGCAGCGCCGCCCTCGGGGGTCTCTTCCATCTGTAGCAGGTTGAGCTGCAGAGGCGAGCTGCCTCGGGACTGGAAGAGTGGCGGGGAGGCCCGGCCGGTGGGCCCGGTGGTGGAGGACGGGGTGGCTGGGGTGGCTGCACGGGATGTGGACTGCCCACGCTCTACCCGGGGACAGGGACACGGCTGTGGGAGCAGCGGGGTCCGGCTGGGGAATGCGGGCTGCGAGGCAGAGAGCATCTCGGGGTGGCCCGGGATGTTAGTCTGGCTGGTGAAAAAGGCTTGTGGCAGCCCTGGGGCCATGGCAGGGAAGGGATAGCTGGGCAGCACAAAGGCCATGACTGGGGTCAAGGGGGCTGCGAATGGTGGGGGCTGCCCCGTAGAGTCGAAGCCTGTGTGGGGGATGTTGGAAGCCGCTGCCAGCGGCCCTGGTGCGGGAAACACGGGCAAGGGGTAGGCTGGCATGGGAGCAGGGAAAGATACAGCAGGGCAGCTGGACTGGGATGTGTCCGAAGGGGACCAGGCTGTGGCATTGAGGCCTGCCAGCGGGGCACGGGTGGGCACTGGCCCTCCGGATGCCGTACTGCCGGATGAGTCTTGGGGCTTGGCCCGCTTGGATTTGAACTTCCTGTTCCTCCCAGTTTTTTTCCATGACGAATGCACCCCGGAAACATTTCTTAGTCCCGGAGCAGCTAGGAGAAGGAAAAAGGCACCTGAGTTAAGAATTGTTCAGGTTGAGTGGCAGTATCCTTGGGGGTAAAACGTTTGATGAAAGAACAGTTGTGTTGCGTCTCAGAGATGTATGAACACAGGAAGGCCCTCTGGAGTCCCACAGCCCCATTCCCAGATGCTGGTCGGGGTGCCCCGTAGACTGGGGTGAATGAATCCCATCAACATGTGTGGCCTGCACGCAGGATCACAGTCCTCGTCTCCCAACAGTCAAGCGGGCAGAACCTTTCAGGAAACGACTTGGGCCCTTGGTGGTACGACCAGGGACATGTTAGCCCACGTGAGGAGAAATCCCTAAGACAGAACCACACACTAACCTTTCTACTTTCAGACTCTACACTCTTTCTCTCCCACCCCTTAACAAGAAGGGTTTCTGCCTATAGATACAGGCTGGGATTGCAACCACATAGGGCCGGAAGGGCACGTGTGCAAATTGTCTGGAAGTGTGGAGATGACGCTCTCTGCAGGACAAAGGACTTGGGGGCCATCCCCAGGGC